CTGTTTTATTTAGATAATAGTAGGGGTTTGTTTCTGGGTTCAAGAGTCGAAGAAGAAAAATAGATAACTTCATACTTATAGGGGCAAGATGTTTATTGTGAACAGACGCTCCTTTTCAGTTATTATCAGTTTATTAATGGATAATAACTGAATTATCATGAAATTTATCCATTGGAAATTTTTCCAAAAGTCATTTGGTTTGATTTGAACTCCAAATGACGTGTTTCCTTGCCTTCCAAAGTTATCCACTCTCTTCAGAAACTTATCTGAATTTTATCTCTTATTTTGACGTAAATGGTTCGAATCAGAAAAATGTGATTCGAACCAAAATCGTAAATTTTTGGATTTTGGTTTTACGTAAATGATTCGAACCATATAATTATGGTTCAAACCAAAGTTACACTTTCTCAAATGCATTTTGTGCAATTGCTTCAAACCAACTTTTTGTGACCCGACAGAGGGGCTGAACGGTTTAATGTCATCGGCAGTGGATAAGGAGAGGTATAAAGGAGTGGGCATTGGGAGTGGAGATGCGATGGTCACACACCTTCAATTCGCGGATGACACAATCTTCTTTGGGGATGCAACGGAAGACAATATTAGGGTGATCAAATGCATTATGAGAACATTCAAGTTAGCCTCAGGACTGAAGATTAATTTCGGAAAGAGCCAGTTGATTGGTGTGGGAGTTGATCAGAATGGGAGTGCTAAAATGGCATATCAATTGTGCTGCAAGGAAGGGAAATTGCCATTCAAGTACTTAGGAATCCCTATTGGCGGGAATCATAGAAGAAAAGCCATGTGGCAGCCTATGGTGGAGTCTGTTAGAAAGAGGTTAGCCAGCTGGAAGGGGAGGTATCTATCGATGGGAGGCCGCATCACGCTCATCAACTCAGTGTTATCAAGCCTACCAGTGTTCTTGATGTCCGTCTATGTTATCCCAAGAGGTATAATTCAATCCATTGACAAACTTCGTAAAAGCTTTTTATGGGGAGGGAAGGGAGAGGAGAGAAAAATAAATTGGATTAGCTGGGATAGAGTGTGTAAAAAGAAGAGGAAGGAGGGTTAGGAGTGAGGGATTTGAGGAAATTCAACTTGGCTTTGATGGGAAAATGGTGGGGAAGGCTTGCTGAAAATGGGGAGGGCATGTGGAAAAAAATAATTATAGAGAAGTATGGGAAGGGAGGGGGTCATTGGCAGGATTGGATTGCTAAAAAAAGAGGAATAGGATCATCGTGGTGGAGGGATGTGTGTGATATAAAAACAATGAATGGGGGCAGCTATGGTTGGATTAAAGAGGGTTTCAGGGTTAACATTGGGAAGGGTAATACAGTTAGTTTCTGGTGGGATAAATGGAGGGGAGAGGAGTGTCTTGCTAATATGTTCCCAAGATTGTATCTGCTATCTACAGAGAAGATGAAGATGTGCAATGAAATGGGAAGGAGAATCAACGGGTTATGGGAGTGGAATTTATCATGGAGGAGGAGCTTGTTTGATTGGGAAAAGGAAGAAGCAATGGAATTACACAACAAGATTCAAAATGTGCA